GCTGAATAAATAAGCTTTCCACTGATGTATGGTTTGTTAGGATAGGACAATATTTGGCTGAGATACAACTATTTGAAAATCTGGAATCTGAGGGTGCAAAAAAATCAAAATATTGAGAAAATCGTCTTTAAAGTTGTCCAAATTAAGTCCTTAGCAATGCATATTACTAATCAAAAATGAAGTTTTGATATATTTACAGTAGGAAATATACAACATATCTTCATGGAACATGATCTTTACTTAATATCCTAATGATTTTTGGCATAAAAGAAAAATCTATAATTTTGACCCATACAATGTATTTTTGGCTATTGCTACAAATATACTCCAGCGACTTAAGACTGGTTTTGTGCTCCAGGGTCACATATATAAATACATATTATAAATACATACACTACTGTTTGTGTTTGAGCTGAGTAAGAATTTTTTTTTATATAAATTTTTTTCAGCAATGCATAATATTTATCAAAAGTGACAGTAAAGACTTACTGTATAATGTTTCAAAAGTTTTCTATTTCAAATAAATGCAGCTCTTTTGAACTTTCTATTCATTACTGAATCCTGAAAAAAAAGTGAGAAATGTTTCTTGAGGACAAAACATCATATCAGAATGATTTCTGAAGGATCATGTGACACTGAAGACTGGAGTAATGATGCTGAAAATTCAGCTTTGCATCACAGGAATAAATTACATTTTAAAATATATTACACTAGAAAACTGTTGTTTTAAATTGTAATAATATTTCACAATTTTACTAATTTGATCAATTTTGAATTTACGAATTTTGATCAAATATGCAGTCTTTTTCTTCCAAAAACATAAAAAAAATCTTACCAACCTCAAACTTTTGAACGGTAATCTAAATAGGAAAATCTATGTAGCATGTTCATTATTCTTATGTATAACAATCATAAATGGCACCAGCAACCCTGACAACCATCCAGAAACTCAACTGCGCCAGTAAGTTTAGCACAAGCAATATTTTTCATACCTCGCATCCGGTGTGATACTGATGAGACATTGATCGTGATATTGCAGATAGACGTCTAACAGAAAGAGAGAAACACGGGAAAAAATCAAATCTAATTTGTTCATCTCAAGTAACACTATGCAGTAAATTTGCCCTATAATCACACAATGACAGCTGTGTGAGATATATACACACATATATATACAGGCAGCCTGATAATGTTTCAATACTAAATATGTCAACCTGACATCTGCGATGTAAAGAATGCTTATTAAAAATTATATAGTCCATTTTAAGGAGCAATGCTATCATCTTTTTTTCTCTTTCACGAAGAAAACATGAGGGCAATTACACTATCACATTTGTCAAGGTCTTAAGTACTTATTTTTTTTGATTCAGCGAAGCACTTTACATATTACATGCTTTAGTAAGTCAAACCCACTGACTTTTAGGACTTTTATAATTAGTGGCTGTATCCGATAGCTGCGTATGACATCCCAAAATCATCTGTGTAGTTCAGATTATTTACTTTGAAATGAATCACCTCTCCATGTCTCAATCTTGTGTTCCTCCAATTCATAGATCTGAACCTACAAGAGGAAGAAGGTAACTATAAAATATATACTAATGATACAGTTCAATGTATATATAAATATAGACTACTGTTCAAAAGTTTGGGGTCAGTCATATTTGTTAATGTTTTCAAAAAAGTCTCTTATGCTCACCAAGGCTGCATTTATTTGATCAAATATACAGTAAAAACAGTAAAATTCTGAAATATTATTGCAATTTAAAATAACTATTTTATATTTGAATATATTCTAAAACGTAATTTATTCCTCTGATGCAAAGCTGAATTTTCAGCATCATTACTCCAGTCTTCAGTGTCACGTGATTCTTCCGAAATCATTATCATATTTGCTGCTCAAGAAACATTTCTTATTATTATCAATGTTGAATAGTTGTGCTGCTTAATATTTTGTGGAAATATGTTTGTGCTACATTTTTCGGTTGCACTTTATTTTACAGTATGTGTATTTGCATGTACTTAAAGTGTACTTACCTAAGACAGTACTGGTAATAAGGTAGCTACATGGGAAAAGGGTCGTTTCAGGGTTAGTACCTAGTTATTGTAATTACAAGTAAATAGTAAGTACTTGAGGAACAGGACTGTAAAATAAAGTGCTACCCAGATTCTTTGATGAATAGAAATATCCGTAACATTATAAAAGTCTTTACTTGATCAATTTAATGTATCATTACTGAAAAAAGTTACAAATCTTACTGACCCCAACCTATTTAAAATTGTAGTTATTTTTTTAAATCTAAAACTCATACATTAAAAAAAATATATTATTTGTTTTTATAATTATAGACATATAAATAAAATAAGTGAGGGGTAATTAGAAGACAGTATCTAGACTGACAATCTAGATTCTTTAATAGTCTTTTCTTTTTTTAATTGGGAAATGTATTTAATTTAATTTTTTTTAATTGTTGCATAGTTGACTGATTTACAAATAAAAGGCTGAAAATATCAGGTTGAGGAAATCATTTGCATGAAATAGACTGAGGCAGAATACTATTTCAAGTCACTTAGTTATCATCTACCGAAGAAACAATATCTGTCTCATGCAGCATTATGTGGACAGTCCATGCAAAATCAATATGATTCAAACCACGAAGGACAACACAAGGTGATCATTAGAGAAGCGGCAGAGATCGCAACCCACCATAGGTGACCTGTAATACCGATGAAGAATATTGATGAAATCTGTGATTGTCAGCATACCTGGGGAAAAAGGCAAGGGAATGAAGGAAACAAGAGAACTACTCATATAGATAAAAATAACATGCACACACTCTGATCAGTCTTACCCACAAATCTCTGCAGTTTGTTGTCCCATAAAGGGGCCGCTCTCAGGCCATTTGCAACCAAAGCAAAGAAGGCCTTCTTTACCTGCATCGATACAATAGATGTGTGTTCACCTCTTCGAAACAATTTTTTTCTAAATGAATTATAGTGGTCATTTTTAAATTATATTAAATGAAAACACTTTCTGTTACATCGAGGACAATTACTGCATCCCAACCTGCAGTGTGGTGTCAAAAATGACTAGTTTGCAGCTGGTGGGAATTGCATCATAACAACAGTGTTTCTTCATGAAGTCCATATAAGCTTCTGCATTTGGATCGGGGTCTGGAGAGACGTGAAACACCAAACAACATAGAATATTTTAGATGCTGTATGTAAATGAATGCCCATCATCAAACAGACTTATGGAATGTTCGTTGACCTACCTACGCTGTTCATTATATAGTCCTCATGGCAACCGTCCTGTTGGGAACAAAAAAAAAAAACGTACACCATTACATTTTCTTTTAAGGACCAATTTGCTCAAAAATTCAAATTCTTACATTTAAATTATAATTAGCAAATGCAAATCAGGTAACAATTATGATAAGCATTATCTTATCAAAACATAGTTTTCATTTAATATAATTTAAAAATGTAATTCTCAGTAACCACAATAATAATAAAATATAAATATATAATAAAATAATCTTATACATGGACATGTAATGAAAACTACTGTTTCTCTATTATTATATAACTATTATTTTTATCTATATAAATTGTTCTGTTTTCATTCCCTTGGCTTTTTCCCAGGTATGCTGACAATCACATATATACATATCACGCACACACACACACACACACATATATATATATATATATATATATATATATATGCCTTTACTTATGTATATATAAATACACACACATACAGTATATATTTAGAAAATATTTATGTATATACATTTATATTATTATATTATATATGAATATATTTATACATAAACGTAAAATTTTTTCATAAGTATATACATACATGTGTTTGTTTTTATATATACTTAATAAATATACACAGTACACACTCATATATTATGTAAACAAAAACCTTTGTTTTGGATGCGATTAATCGCGATTAATCGTTTGACAGCACTAATATATATATATATATACATACAAACAGACATATATGTGTATATATCTCATTGGACTTCCAAACCACTATTGTTTTATTATATTAAATTTCCCAGAGACAAGGTAATACACAGCAGTACCATTGAACATTGAATTAGCACTTCTAAAATTTGTTTACGTTTAACTCAGTGTCTTGCCTAATTCGCTCCTTCAAGCCTTTATTTGAACCCACGCGTTTGCCTCAGACCCCTGAGAGAAGGTTTAGTCTCTAGTCTTACCTGCGCGCCAGCGTCCATCTGTGCGTGTGCACTACAGCCGAGCTCCTCCGCGCGCCGCGCGTCCCCGCTTCCTGCGCATGCTCGTGGAGGTCGGTTAATTAACGCGACGCTCCCTCTAGCGCAGCTGCGCAGTACGAGCGATGGACAGGCAAAGCTACGGCGCAGGGAAGACAAGACCACCTATTTTAGTAGGATATTGCTGTACGAGTCTGGTTAAAAGCGCTGTAAAGGTGTCTTGTTTGACACTGACGGACCGCGCGAGAGCAGGCACGCGCAGCTTGTTCCAAATATAGCGCGTGGCCTGTGTGATATGCGCGCGACCGCCCATTCCTTCAGGAAGGGTCCCAAATTAACTTTACGCCACAACCTTCCAAAGGCCAGCTGAGAAATTTCTTCAGTATTGCTCGAAGTACGTAGTCATTAAACCGGTTTTAATATTATTTCGTAAAAATAAAATTAACGAAAATAGGTTCAGTGCAGAATTATCGTTAACTGAACATTACTATCACACACACTTACAGTGTTGGGGAAAGTTACTTTTAAAAGTAATGCATTACAATATTGCGTTACTCCATAAAAAGGAACGAATTACGGTACGTAGTTACTTTTTATGGAAAGTAATGCGTTACGTTACTTTTGCGTTACTTTTTAAATCTGTACAGGGCTTGCTTGTTTATTTTTAAAATAAAAAAGTTCTATTTTTGGCAAATATAAAAGCCTTTTCACACCAAAAGTGAAATGAATAAGCCTCAGGCTGAAGGGAAAGTAAATTTACGTCCGTACAGTAGAATGCAGAAGAAGAAATTTCAACACACTTCAGCAATAAAAAAAGACGCACAAATGTTTTTCTAGAGTAATTTTTGCTTATTAGTATGGTTGAACTGGATCATCGAAGGTCAGAAGCAAATAGAATGGGATTAAATACATAAAGGATATTTGTGTTGTTTAACATTTAATTATTGCAGGTTTGCGTCATATTCTGTGTTGCATTATTTTTATTCAGTTTGAGGAATACTGAATCTGTTTTTTTTTTTTTTTTTGTGAGTGAGATGAATTAATGCATATTCATATTTATTTTAGAACTACAGTAACATCTTCTGATTTCTCTCAACATGGGGACAGGAGAGCTGTCAATCAATAAATTGGAAAAAAAAAAGTAACTTGCGTTTATTTGAAAAACTCAGATATTCTCTTGTAAATTAAAATATATATATATATATATATATATGTGTGTGTGTGCGTATATATATATATATACACACACACAAACACATATATATAATATTTTATTGCAGCCAAAGCAAGGACGTTCATTCAGTTTAGGTTATAGTACTAAAATAATCGAAACATTTTATTTAAAGGTGTCCTTGTTACACACGTACTATTTATAACAATAAATTATGCATAATTACATGCAAATAACCCTAAGAACCCTAACCCTAACCATATAATAAGTGCATGTAGTTAATTAATACTACTACTTGTGACGTGCTTATAAACTGGACGTATATAAAAAACGTTTTCTTCCAAAATTACTTTTTATATGATTTTATAAAGTAAAGCTCAAGACATACCTATTCTCTCTGGCTTTTATTCATAGCAGATTTACTGAGTAGTTGTTGGTCTTGTTTTAGGTCTGAAATCTGTTATTCTGAATATGACATTATTTATTGACTATCTTTGGACTTATTGTACACCACATTAGTCAACCATTTTTATTTTCAATGGCGCTATATAAATAAAGTTTAAGTTGAAAATAAAAGATGTGATGTTTGAAATTGAAGAAATGATGAGAGCCATAAACATTACTACTGTAAATTTAAAATTATTATTATTTTTTTTTTACAATTTAAGAACTTTTTTTATTTTAGTGAAATTACAATAGTAATATTTATTTTAATAACTGAATTTAGTAATAATAAAAATGTTGTCATTATGACAATGTGACTATATAATATAATTACTATTATTTTATATTGGTACATAACCACAATTTTGCCCAAATCTTAAAAAAAAAAAAAAAATGCTTAAGTGTATATTATATACATTTCATTTTTCTTTTTTCTCCAAATTTTAGATTTACTGTTTTTGTGACAATGTCCAGTGAGATGTCAAAACAGGCGTCTGTCGTGCCATATTTGAATAAAATTATGTTTAAGAACAGCAAATTTTTGTTGACTTGGAATACAGTGCACATCATATGGACTACTTTTTAGGTGTATTTAGGAGTTTATATGGATTCAACTGTGATTATCGACCTTGGTAAAGTGCTGGTAGATAGCTGATAGAGCTTCCCTCCAATTGGTTTGCTCCAACAGGACGCAGAGATCCGTGTAGGTGAACCAGCCTCGCTTCATTCCTTGTCGCTCCGCAATGCTACAACGACAAAAATATTGATCTTTTTACACTGGAACATCATAACCAAACAACAAAACGAGCATGTGTGAGGACCTTGAACTTTGTCACACGACACACAACTTAAAGAGAAATGTACTGCTAATCCAACTCACTCTGATAAACAGATTAGACTGCAAAGGGCAACCGCATTAAGTCCCAAGTGAGTCACTGTCCAGTTGCAAAAGACTTAAATACTCATAGGCTATTTAAACAGGTCATGACATTAAAAATCGTCCTTGATTTTTTGAAAAGAAGAACAAAGATGTAGCCTATGCTGTGACCCCTTAAAGGCCAGTAGGAGTGTTCACTTAAACCATATGACTCAGTATAATTTGGGATGTACTGTTACGACACAGTAATGCATGTTAACCAACCTGCTTTCCACCTGACTGAGGACTTTAAAGAAGTCACTGGGCTCAGTGAAGAGGTTCCAGTCCTGTAAATGAGAAAGGTCGTGTTTCAAATAAATTTCTGTAGAAAACTCACAACCAGAAATGCAACCAGATCTAGTATTAGCCTTAATAAGTGTGTATAAAAGGACAAAACAAGTCGAACTACTGTAAATGTCCATAGTTGTCATGCTTACGATCGCATTGAGGAAGTTCATCTCCAAAGTGTTGACAGTCTGAACATCCAGCTTGGCCGCAGTGCCCCATTCATCGTTGAAAACCTCCTCCTCTTCTCCTTCATCATACAAATACTTACTGGCAACCATCTGGAGATAACATTAGAAATTCAGAGAAGCTAATAAGGGTAATAAAAGGTAAGTAAAAATCCTTGGATGTGCATACATACCATGGATATCAAAAAGAGGTCTGAGGATGAGATCTGTTGCAGGTATTCGGGATTTCTGTGTCGCAGTCTTTCAATGTATATCAAGGCCAACATCATAGCGCAGGGAGATATACATGCTTCCCTGCAACAAAAAACTATTTTATATTAATTCAGTGAAAATGCATCACACACAATATTTATTAATGAGATTATATTTCAAAATCAAAGATTTAAGGCGATCCTACCTGGCTACGTGTGCAGCGTATTTCTTGTGGAGTTTCTTTATGGGACTTGGGGCAGATTTCTGGAGCAGTTCCACAGCAATATCTAGAAGAAATACAATGATGAGTGATCAAGCAGTACTGTACACACAAATAACACAAATAAAATAAACTGTTATATGAATAGAATATGTACGATGAAAAAAAATATACCCAAACAGGGCCCTATCTGAGAAATCATTGATATAGAAACTTTGCATGACCCAAAATATTTTTATGCTATGACAAAGTATTAATATGAGCAATATATCTCCCCTGTATTTAATTTTAGATTTTAAACTAAATTCTAATAACTGTAAATATGTGACACCCTGGACCACAAAACCAGTCATAAGTAGCATGGGTATATTTGTAGCAATAGCCAACAATTGGGTCAAAATTATAGATTTTTCTTTTATGGCAAAAATCATTAGGATATTAAGATCATGTTCCATGAAGATATTTTGTAAATGTCCTACCATAAATATATCAAAACTTAATTTTTGATTAGTAATATGCATTGCTAAGAACTTCATTCGGACAACTTTAAAGACGATTTTCACCCTCAGATTCCAGATTTTCAAATAGTTGTCCAAATATCTCGGCCAAATATTGTCATGTCCTAACAAACCATACTTCAATGGAAAGCTTTCAGATGATGTATAAATCTCAATTTCAAAAAATTGACCCTTACGACTAGGGCTGCACGATTATGACAAAAATCATAAATGTTCGATTATTCCCTTGAAAAGGTAATTGCGATTATTAATTACGATTATCACAATTTACATTGACTTATGTTTATACCATTGTTTGATGCAACTGCATGCTGTATTTTTATATGAAAATAAACAAGCTGAAAACACTCTAGCTGAAAAACTTTTAGTGCTTTTCAATAGTATTAAGCCCCTACCGTAAATATATCAAAACTTAATTTTTGATTAGTAATATGCATTGCTAAGAACTTCATTCGGACAACTTTAAAGACGATTTTCACCCTCAGATTCCAGATTTTCAAATAGTTGTCCAAATATCTCGGCCAAATATTGTCATGTCCTAACAAACCATACTTCAATGGAAAGCTTTCAGATGATGTATAAATCTCAATTTCAAAAAATTGACCCTTACGACTAGGGCTGCACGATTATGACAAAAATCATAAATGTTCGATTATTCCCTTGAAAAGGTAATTGCGATTATTAATTACGATTATCACAATTTACATTGACTTATGTTTATACCATTGTTTGATGCAACTGCATGCTGTATTTTTATATGAAAATAAACAAGCTGAAAACACTCTAGCTGAAAAACTTTTAGTGCTTTTCAATAGTATTAAGCCTCAAATGTCAAATATACATCGGATTGGTTTCTTCTTTAAATTATAAAAAAGTAAAAATATGAATGGTATTATGTTATACTAAAACTAAAATAATGGGGAAAACCCTTAAGATAACATGTAGAAAGAAAAAAACGCATCTTAAGCACGCCGAATAACATAAGTGGACTTTGAACGATTAATTGCCGCTTTGAACGATTATGTAATTTTGGCATCCATAATTGTAATCGCGATTAGAAATTCGATTAATTGTGCAGCCCTACTTATGACTGGTTTTGTGGTCCAGTGTTACATACATGTACAAATAATTAAGCCATAATAAAATATGATTATTTAATGATCAATTATCAAAATAATACTTAACATGCAAATAACTATATATATATATATATATATATGTGTGTGTGTGTGTGTGTGTGTATGCATGTATGTATATATATATATATATATATAATATTGTAAAAACGGGAGACAAAACAAGTAGTTTAGTGAAGATAAATGAATGCATTACGTTTGCACTAGTTTTACTTGTTGACTCACCTGTCATGGGACATGATAGAGCATCCAAGGGGCTGTCAGAATCAAGACCATAGTACAGTCGTTTCCTCACTTTCTCTGACCACTGCTCGTGTCCAGGCAGAAACTGATCATGATTACACAATACAAAAAACATGGTTTAAATGTCAAATATCTTAACAATAATTCGAAAGGAGATCTATTAAGACTACGTAATATCATTAAAGCAGCAACATCACTATTGTATGTGTTTTTCCTATCACACCCAAACATTGGGCCTCTGAGTGAGCCTCGAACTAACGTGGATTAATACTCACAACAAATAGTTACTGTCTTACAAACTGAAATACAGAAGATATTTGCTGTATTTAAGAATAATTCGTTTCTTTCGGTCTAATATTCTGGGCTTTAAATGAAAGAAGACATTAAAACGTATTTAAAGTTTTTACATTAGTTTCTCTTGAGTTTCTCAGTCACCCGCCAAAACAGCGCAGCTAGAATAAAAACACCGGAGATACTGACCGTAAACTCCTGGAAGTCAGAAAAGGTGAACGTTCGCTCGTCAAACAAATCGCCAAAATCCATTTTGGGTCTCCAGCATTAAGTTAGAAGGACTGAAAACACAGAAAGGCCGAAGGAAGGCGTCGTGGAGGCGCCCTCTCTCTGCCGCGACAGCTGCGTCGAGACGTATTCACAATCAGAGTTACGCAAGACAACGCGCTCAGTTGCGGTAGGGCGGGACTACTGGACCGACCTTGGGTCAAACATTTTTTTGGTGTAATTTAAATGTTTTTTTTTTGTTTGTTTGTTAAATAACTATATAGTTTTACGTCTTACCTAATCGCTGTGTATTTCTATCCCAAGGTTAAAAATGGCAAATAATTAAAATGAAAGTTTCCCAATATCACGGACCAACGTTGAACATGTTACTTTTGTCATCGCTATTATTGATGGACCAATCACAGTAGTTTATGATTACTCACTTAATTTATTGAAACTGCGCAAGCAAGATTTTTATTTATATGCCAAGTACTTCGCAGTAATAGAGCAGCAGATTTAAACGATTACATGACAGGTGTGTAAAAAATATCTCCAATAACACACAAAAGCACAGATTTGAATGACTCGATAGTTTTCCTATTTTTGGCCGTAAAGCGCCCCCTAGTGTAAAAAAGAAAAGAAAAAGGGAAGTCTCTTTCAGTGCAAGTTACTGAACGTTCTAAGGAACAATACAATATAATACAATACAAACAATAGTAATAACCAAAATATTGTTTTTTATTATTTCATGTATTTTTATTTCTAAACAAAATATAAAGGAAATACGTATGGCATTTTAATGTACATACAATATTTTACGCAAAGAACAATGTGATCAATAATCACAAAGAACATATTCCCTCAGTTGCCTTTATTGCACAATAAAATACATACAAAAATCTTTATCCATCCTGTTACGACTGTCATATTATGTCAGTTGCTATTTCTCCACCCGTTCTTTGAATAATCATTAAAAAACTACTACAAAGCTACATAGTACAGCAAAAACACACCCCAATGGCTCATTTCAACCTTGTCCCCTGAGTTTAGTGTCAGTCCTACAAAGCGAGCAAGCTCCAATGTCCCTTAAATTGAACTGAAGTTGTACAGTATTGCATCTAAGCAATAAATCTCACTCCACACACACAGTATAACAAAATGATCTTCAAGCACACAGATGATCATAACCTAAAAAAGTGTGCACATAATATATCAGAAATTAACATGAAAATTGAGGAAATGATCCCCCGCCCCCGCCTATAACCTAGTCCTAAATTTAAACTTAATCTTAGTCTGTATAGAAAGTCATATATTGGTATTTACTGCTATACAATGGCACCAGAGATATAATTATTCATTTTCAAATAAAATTACAATTTGTTCTGATGTAGATCATATATACAATTACAATCAGTTGCCGAATGTTCGCTATTACAAAGAAAATCAATGCAACCAGAGAAATCCACTGACTGATTAAAATAAAATATCCCCCACTGTACATTCAACATAATTAAGTTATAGTAGTGGAAGGAGCCATAATTGTCAGAGCATTATTTAATACTCGGTCAGTCTTCTCTCATATTAATAAGCATTATAAATGCAATGAGTGAAAAGTAATTGCAAAAGCAATATAAAAAAGGACTTAAATATCTCATAAATAAATAAATCCTTAGGCAACATGGATCACTTTTAAGAACTGGCGAAAACAATATATGATACTAAATAATTATCATTCTAATATGTCAAAACAGCATTGGACGAGCTTAAAATGCACACAAAACCAGATCTGATTGCATGTCTCGTGCTCCTAATGTCCCTTATGTCCTGCAGTGGATGTTTGTGGCTGTAGTTTCTCAGATTTCCTGTCTTTGGTCTCGGTGTCAGAGGCCGAGTCTGAATCCTGCGCCTGCTGCTGTTTTAGCCACATGTCAGAGTACAGGCCTCCCTTCGCCAACAGCTCGTCATGCCTACAACAAACAACAATACCGGACTTTAAACCACAAAGTATTAAAGGCACAATATGTAATTTTCGCCATTAGAGGGCACGTATTCAAAATAAACTAATAGACAAAGGCGTAGTTTGATGAGGCCGTGACTGAGTGTGGAATCATGGGAGTTGACGTCTTCATCCCCGGGCATATAGGACCTACAATAATGTACAGTATTTGAAAAATAATGTGTTTTTTGAACATTAAAGCATGTCAACATATTCTGTTACACCAAATACACAAAATAATGATCTTTAAAAAAGCATCATATGACCCCTTTAATAAAAAAATCTTACATATTGTGCCTTTATGGTCTAAATGTGTGTTCAGTATACCAGTAAACAAACCCACCTTCCTCTCTCCACAATCTGTCCATCACGAAGTACAAGAATCACATCGGCTCCAATCACAGTCGACAATCTACAATATGCAAATCAGCGATGGTGTTATATACAGTAAGAAATTCTGTAATCTAGTTTCATGACTAGTTATCACTATAGTAATTGATGGAAGATGATTTGAGTAAAAACATCTTTTAATTGATTTAATGATGTGTTTACCTGTGTGCCACCACAATGGTGGTTCTGTTGGCACAGACTTTAGCTAGTGAGGCCTGAATATTTCGCTCGGTCTGTGTGTCTAGAGCAGATGTGGCCTATGGGTAGAGTAGAAGATGAGTAAATGAGTCTATCAAGAGAAAAGTACTTGTGAATCAGAAATTTTGTGTTTTATACAAACAAATCTCTTTTACAGTTTTTGTTCTAATCACAACAAGACGATTGCTTGCTTGTTTTCTATTTCTGTCCAGTATAGCTGAGAAGCTCCGCCCACTGAAATTTCATTGGTCTAAAATCCATCATCACATATCAAACTAAAAGTTTGGGGTCAGTAAGACTTTTTTTTATGTTTTGAAAGAAGCCTCTTATGCTCATCAAAGCTACAATTAATAGAACAAAAATAAAAAGAGTAACATTGTGAAATATTATTACAAGTTAATATAACTTTTTTATGAAAGTGACATTTATTCCGGATTTTTCCATAAACAGAAAGTTCAAAAGAACAGCATTTATTTGAAATAGAAATCTTTTGTAATATTGTAAATGCATTAACATACTGACATTTTTATCAAAATATTAATTTCTTAAATTTTCTTTAAAAATCTAACAGACTCCAAACTCTAGAACAGTAATGCAAAAAAAGCTTCTCAACAAGAAATCATAAAAACAAAAGGCAAAACTGGGATAATTCCCACATTGCGTACGCATTCTCCCATAATGCACTGGTGCTGTCGTACCTCGTCGAGGAGGATGATCTGTGGCGCTTTGAGGATGGTGCGAGCGATGGCGACTCTCTGCTTCTCTCCTCCGCTCAACTTTAGTCCCCTCTCACCCACCTGAGTGTCATAGCCTACAAATAAATATCAATTATGAATATCAGCTATTTTATCTAGACTCAAAATGGATGGCATACTAGTGTTATTTTAGTATCACTGAGATACCATTATAGTATCCATTTTAATTTTATATCCATATAAGTTTTAGATGCGTTTTTGCCATTTTATTAGTTTTTGTCTTTTTTTATGATTTTTTACTTCAGTTTTAGTTTTAGTTATTTTAGTAAATCAAGTTAAACTAAATGTTAAACTCTTTATATAAGCACATTTTATAAATGTCACATTTTATTTATTCATTGACTACAGTTTAAATATGTGACCCTGGACCACAAAACCAGTCTTAAGTCGCTGGGGTATATTTTTAGCAATAGCCAAAAAAACACTGTATGGGTCAAAATTATCGATTTTTCTTTTATGCCAAAAATCATTAGGATATTAAGTAAAGATCATGTTCCATGAAGATATTTTGAAAATTTCCTATTGTAAATATATCAAAACTTAATTTTTGATTAGTAATATGCATTGCAAAGAACTTCATTTGGACACCCAAAATGAAAATTTGATGTTTATCTGCTTACCCCCAGGGCATCCAAGATGTAGGTGGACCATTGTCACTCCTAACTGAGATTGTAGATAGAGTGTCAATGGTCCATTTGAGAGATAGGTGGCGGTAATGCACTTATAAATCTGCGATCCGCCGTAAAGCAAGAAGTAGAAGAAGACGCGTCACGCAGGCTGTTGAGAACGCGCTCAGGACAGTTCGGACTTTGTGGTGAAAATCAGAGGTAAAAAACGATATAAATACTGAAAATCTTCGTTTGTGTTCTACTGAAGAAACAAAGTCACCTACATCTTGGATGCCCTGGCGGTAAGCAGATAAACATCAAATTTTCATTTTTGGGTGAAGTATCCCTTTAAAGGCGATCTTCTCAGTATTTTGATTTTTTTGCACCCTCAGATTCCAGATTTTCGAATAGTTGTATCTCGGCCAAATATTGTCCTATCCTAACAAACCATACATCAATTTCGAGAAATTGACCCTTATTACTGGTTTTGTGGTCCAGGGTCACATATAATTCAATGCTGCAAAGTTGTAGATTTTGTCTACATGGTTCTCACCCTCCGGGAAGGTTATGATTTTTTCATGGATGTCAGCAGCGATGGCAGCCTCCTCCACCTCCTGGTCAGAAGCAGTAACTCGACCGTAGCGGATGTTATGTCGAATGCTGTCATTAAACAGGACGGTATCTTGAGGTACGACGCCAATGTGAGCACGCAGAGAGGCCTGCTTCACCTGAGACACAACCAGACATGCCACATTTAGTGCAATTTAAATTGCTATGACAGGAAGTTAAAGGTAATGTTTGGGTGCCCTCTGTTCTTGTATCGATGGCAGGTTCACCTTTGAGATATCTTGGCCATCTATTTTTACACACCCGCCCTGAACGTCATAAAAACGGAAAAGCAGACGGATGATGGTGCTCTTTCCTGATCCAGACTGTCCGACCTGAAATAAACCAAAGAAAGTGATTACACATACACTAGTGGTCAAAAGTTTGGAATATTTAAGATTTTTGATTTTCTTATACGCTGATTTGGTGCTCAGTTATTAATAATGGTTCTTACTATTATCAGTGTTTTGTTGTTTTTTTTGTGGAAACTGCAATAAATTTTTTAGGGGATTATTTGATGAATATAAATTTATATTAAAAAAAAGCATTTCTTCTTCTAAGCAAAATCTTCTGTAACATTATAAATGTCTTTACCGTCACTTAAATTCAATTTAATGCCTCTTTACTGAATAAAACTATTACTATCTTTTTGTTTTAAAAATTGTATAAATGGTAGTATATCATGATTTGCACAAAAATATTAAGCAGCACAACTGTTTTCAACATTGATAATAGGAAATGTTTCTTGAGCAGCAGATAATAGAACAGAATAGAATAGAATAGGATAGAATAGGATAGGATAGGATAGGATAGGATAGGATAGGATAGGACGGAACAGGATGTAATGGAACGGAATGGGATGGGAAAATTTGAATGGAATGGAACATGATGGAATGTAACGGAATGGGATGGGACAAATTTAATGGGATGGAACGGGATGGGATGGGATAGAATTGAATGGAACTGGATGGGATGGGATAGAATGTAATGGGATGGAATGAGATGGAATGTAAATAAATGTAATGGGATGGGACATGATGGGATAGAATGTAATGGGATGGAATAGAATGGAATTAAATGGAATGAGATGGGATGGGATACGATATGATTTGGTTGGATATGATATGATAGGATATGATAGGATAGGATAGGATAGGATAGGATAGGATAGGATAGGATAGGATAGGACAGGACAGAACAGAACAGAACAGAACAGTACAGAATAGAATAGAATATAATAGACTTACAAGTGCAACTGTTTGTCCAGGGAGAACGGTAAAAGAGATGTCTTTTAGAATCTCCTTGCTGCAAAAATATCCAATTCTGAATATTACTTATTTGTGACACAAATTACTCTAATAATAATCACAAAATAAAAAACAGTAGAAACGAATATATGACTGAAGCTGCTCACCCTTGCATGTAGCTGAAGAAGACATTCTCAAACTCTACTTGTCCCTGTCTGTAGTCGAGGTTTCCTGCGTTGACGTCATCCTTCACCTAAATCAAATCATCATGTCTTTAATTATCCCAAAGCTTCCGCGAAATAAACTTCAATGAAAAACCTCACACTCACCTCCTCTTCCTCAGTGAAGAGCTTGAACATGCTTTCCATATCAATAAAGGAATTCTGGATCATTCTGTTAGAGGAAAGATACACGTTTACTGTTTGTTCTTTTTAAAAAATATATAGTTATCTATACACAGATGACCAAATCTTCATGCCTGTAGTATGTTCCAAACCAGTTGAGAGGAGTGTAGAGCTGGATGATGTACGTCCCAAACAGCACATAATCTCCTACCTGGAAATTCATGTCACATGACAAACAAACAAACTCAAAACAAAAATCTCTGCTTGTTCACTGCTCATTGAAATAATATATTTAATTTTTTTCTTCTTCTTGTTTTATTACATTTCACTTTAAAAGATATTAAAATTATATGATTTTTTAAAATTAAATTCTGTATTGGTTAGATTGTTATGTACCGCCTTGTCACTTTGTGCCAGCTGAATTAAATTAACCACCACAATCCAATAAAATACGCTTCAGAGACAGTGAACTGTGACCGTCAACTCTGACATAGTAACAATAGTAAAACCTCAGTCTGGAGTGGAAATATGATAATGGCATTTCAATCACAATCTCATAAATAGAAAGTAATGTAGTGCATTAGACAAAAAAGTGCTGTTTATGAAGCAACATTGAAACTTTAGAAAGAAGCAACATGTAATTTAACTGATGTGCTGTTACAGGTGTGCATTTATTGGCTGTTTTACAATGACTTTGAAAGTGTAAACTCAGAAGAACTGTCCACTGTATACATTAGGGCTGTCAAAAAAAAAATGTGAATTTCGAATATTCGTTGAATTGAAGAAAAAAAAATCCACATTCGAATGCAAAAACGTTGCATTCGAATTTTAGTTGTGCGTCAGGGCAGCCTTTCAGTGGCGCACGAAATGCGACGACGATGTAAGTGTCATTGCTTTTGTTAGCCTATCCAGTTGAACTCACTAGATGCGGCGCTGATACGTTGTTCATTCAATATATTGCAGAAAACGAGAGCATCAGTGTAGAGAAGATGTTGTTTACGTCAAAACTGAAACCAAGCCGTTCACACAGAACGCATATTTATCTCATTTTCAAGAGGGACATCTATCAGTGTTGCACTCGCGTCTCGCACAAGAGCGGCATGCTTAGAAAGCCATGTAAAATTAATGTAAGTTCAACTTTTAAAAAACATGTCTCAAGACTTTATGGTGGTTTTTCCCCATCCCACTGCATCTTATGTTTTTAAATAAAGAAAGTAGCCTACTCTTTGTGATTGGTTTTCGGTCCTTTGTATTAAACTATACATACATGCATGGTGCTGTTTTTTTTTTTCTAATTGTTTAAGCAACTTTATTAATTATATATGGTTTATAAACATTATTTTAAACATTATGCACTTTTTTTTCAAAGATAGTTGTGTTATTTTATTACGCTTTGAAGAAACGTGCATAATATTTTGCTCGATGCGCCCTCTTGTGGCCTCAGGAGAGAAGCCAAAAGCTTTTTTTCCCCTAACTGAAATTATGCCTTTTAAATTCGAATATAATTCGAATTTTGATCATATTTAAGTAGAAAGTTCGAATTTAGTTTTTCAGTCATTTTGACAGCCATAGTATACATAGTATACATACAAACGTTTGTACTGTTCAAACATTTGGAGTCAGTAAGATTTTTTGTTGTTGTTGAAATGCGTCTCTTATGCTCAACAAGGCTGCATTTATTTGATTAGAAATACAGTAAAACAGTAACGTTGTGCAATGACTTTTTTCTATTTAAATACATATTTAAAATTTTATAATTTTTTCCTGTAATGCAAAACAGCATTTATTTGAGTTAAAAAATTTTTACTGTAACTTACGATGAATTTAATGCATCTTTGCTGAATATAAAAAAATTTTTTTAAAAAATTACATATACATTTATGTTCCTTTTTTCTATTTATTAAAAAAAAAAAAGTCCTGCTATAAACCATAGATTATTTGATGGCTTCAGAATTATCAGCCAGTGATATCTGATATCTGAGTAGTCCTCACTGTTCGTACCTGAAACTTTCCCTCTGTCACGAAGTACGCACAGAGCAGAGATCCGGTCAGAAGACCCAAGCCGATAATGAGGTTCTGCGTTTGATTTAAGAGTGCCAGAGATGCGTTGGTCTTCCACTCCGATACCTGAGCAAAAGAAAAAGTGGCATTTATTTATACCACTGTGAGCTCTACAACATTAAATTCCTTTCAGATGAATTACATATAAAATAACGATGAAATACAACAAATGTTGTGCGGAGAGCAGTCTAAAAATACTCTTTAACAAATGTTACCTGATATTTCAGGATGGCATTCTCAAAGTGACCCACTTCATAACTCTCTGCATTGTAATATTTCACCTGTTGACAATATCATAATTTAATCACAGCATATGCATAGCATAAGTTTAATATTTCTTGTAACACACATTCTGATGCCTTAGTCAAACAAATCGAAGCCATACCGTCTCAAAGTTCAATAAAGAGTCCACAGCTTTCGATTTGGCATTGTTATCTTGTGTGTTCATATCTCGTCTGTATTTGGTTCTCCATTCAGTGATAACAATAGTGAGAGCTGACAGAGACACAGATAACAGCAATCAATCAATAAACCAAATGCTGATCTAGTATATTTCCATTCTTCTATCGTTAGTGACTCTTGAGATGAAAGAATCATAAACAATACTGCACTGAGTTTAGGTATGTTCAGAACTACTGTACACACTATTTGTGCAGCATGCAGTATACTGTTCACATTTTGTGAATTACCTGTCAAGTAATATCAAGTGCTATTTTAAAATAATCATTTTTATTTATAAAACCATAGAGTGACACCAATTATGCAAGCTTCATAATGAGGTTTGCTGACAGTGCTATTTTGGTATTATTTATATACTGAAGTTTTTTTTTTATATTAGCTTGAATTTATACTGAATTCATATTTTCAGTTTTCTTTATAATTTTAGTTAATGTTTTAGTATTTTGTTATATGCTTTTGTCATTTTTTCCCCACATCTATTTAGCTTTATTTTTATTTCAGTTTTACTTTTAGTAATTTTTGTACTTTAACTTTAGTTGTGAAGGCAACATTTCTAATTTGTTCATTTATGTTTTTAAAGTTTTTCCATCTAATATTTATATTTTATGTAATTTTAGCTTCATTTCAATAACTGAAAATTATTTTGAATCGTTTTTATTTAACAAACATTATGCAATGGTGTGACAAAAAATATAGCATAAATATTTGCATACTGCATTCTGTTTCAGCTGCTACACTTGCAGAAGGCAGTATATGTTCTGCACAATATGCGAACAAACAACCTAACCATTATCCCAACCTCCAATTACACACCCGAACCAGCTAGACAAGATATTCACATTCTATTTGCCCTTCAAGTGTAAACAAGACTTTGGTTACAAGACAATAAGTCAATATACATAGTTATTCCATTACTTAAGAGTTATAATTTACTTAAAGGGATAGTTCACCCAAAAATTAAAATTTGATG